GCCCTCCCCCCTCTGCTGGCTTGGCCCCGCCACTGCAGACCAAGGCTCTTACTACTTTCCAACTCCCAAGACCCAAATCAAGTCGGGGGTGGGGGGGTGGGGGGGCTCCTCAATCTAACGGTTATTTTCGAGACTCTCTAGATGAACAAAAGGGACAGAGTTGTATCCAGTAGGGACGTCTCTATTCCAGAGTGGGTGGTTCCCTCATTCTATATTCAAGGTGCTCACCCTGATACTCCAACAGTCCTGAGACCTGCCTCCAGGCCGCGCCTCTCGGTAACGGCTTCAACCAACTGAACTCTGCAGGCGGAAGTTAGGAGTTAGATTATGACGGCACTTCCGGCACTTCTGTACCTCTGCCCCGCCCTGTCCCGTCCCTGTCATAATTCTGGCCCTGCCCCCCCACCACGCCAACACATGCCTGCGTCTTCCCTTCAGCAAAGGGCTGGGCTCTGTGTGGCTCCCCATAAGAGTCAGGGACTCCCCAGTTTGCTGAGGTCCTATCGTGCCCCATAGAACACCCTATCTTCAGATTCCTGAGACTGAAATCAGGGGTTATCTCTGCCCAACAGTTATTCTGGAGTGTCCTAAATCTAACCATAGTGATGGAGATCTTGGAGTTCCATCCATTCTGGTATGAAGGGTGTCTTCGATATCTACTCAGCACCTTACTTGGGTTTTAAATGGCTTGGGACTCCTCCAGTGATCTGAGGCAGCACCTCTCAATTCAAGGCCCTCAGGCCAAGGTTAGGGGACGTCACTTCTGCCCAGAGTCTCCCAGAGTTGACAGCAGGATTGAGACTCTGTAGAGTCACATTCTTCTGGGATGAGTGATCCCTGCAGTCCATATTCAGGGTCTATACCTAGACTCTAGTCTAGTGGATGAATTAAATTCTTCCTACGCAGTGGCATGTTTCTGTCAATAGTTATTATTTGCCCCACTGCCACTCTCATCGAGACTGAGTCCAAGTTTCAGGCTAGCTGTTAGGAGGGGAAACATATGTCCAGAATAATTTCTGTACAGTCAGAGGAAACACACTCACACACCAACCCATGGGGGTCTTTCTCAAACCAATTGGGAAACTTCTGTTCTAAAAGACTTTCTACAAGGTATACCTGTGTGGACACATTGTTAAGGTGTCTGGTACTTGAAACACTGTGCCTGAAACATTGTATCACTTTATAAAATCATTAAGTGGACTCAGCATGGGCCCACTGGATTGATATGTGCCTCTAGACTTCTGTTCACTCCATAAATAATTGAAACAGTAAAGCACAATGAAACCTTAGAAATTGTCATTCTTTCTGATTAAGGAGCCTGGAATATAGAGAGATGAAGAAGTGCTTTGCATGTGATTTTTTTTTTTCTGATCAGAATTAAAAGAGTGGTGTTCTACTATGTTCTCACTGTAAACATTTCAAACTATGCCTTTAAAAAAAATTTCTCTTTCTTGTTCTTCAATCCTCGCTGTCACTCCACCACCATAAAACCTTATTATGATTTGTGTGTATAGATAAAAACATGCACTTTACTTACATAAATGTAATATAATGTCACTGGACTCCCATGTAATCGACTGCGATTTGAACCCCAGACCCGGTGGCTTAAACTCATGCCAGGCGCATGTCCAAGTTCCTGAGAGGAGAATAGAGGAGAAGGGATTGTGGCGTGGCCATTCCCTTTGGGGGGTGATTTCTCGCTTTCTGTCTCTATGTCTCTCTCTGTCTTTCCGGCAAGCACATGTGCCCTATAGCAAAAACCTCTCCAAAAAAATGTAATATAAAGGACATATTGTTTTACCATTTGCTTTACCCCCCCAATTAATAATTCACTTTAAGGGTCTTCCATATCAATCTTCAAGGTTGCCTTAAAGTCTGAAAAAACAGTATCATTTGATTATGATTTGCAAATTGAAGATGTCCTGGATAGCACTCTATATACTGTCTATATTTTTGGATTTTATGATATATACATATATGTGAGTGTGTGTGTATATATATATATATATATATATGAGAGAGAGAGAGAGAGAGAGGGAGGGAGAGGGAGTGAGAGTTTTACAAACTATATGACTTTATATACAGCTAACATTTTTTCTTTTTTTAAAAAAAGTAAAATAGATGGCTGCATCACCTAATTAAAACTCATGCATATTTATCTTCAAATATTTTATTGAATGGCAAAAGTGTTGAAATATTAGTGTGATAGGTATTGTTCATGAGACTTTGTAGATCATTCTTTCCATGAACCATAAAAAAGTGAAAAAAATGATAGCATATCATTATACTATGCCTTTGCATTTCCATTTCTTGCTCTGTGAATTCAGTCTGCCTAGCTTTATTGGTCACAGTGATTAAATACCCAGTCATGTATTGGGAATCATGAGCACAATGTGATAACATGGTTCTGATACCAAATGACCCAAAGATGCCATCACAAGTTCCAGCGAGGGACTTTCTATTTTCTCTTTGAGAGCTTATTATTTTATCACTATACTGTCTCTTGGTATGTTTTCTCACTAATATATCTTCATATGGAATTATTTTACAGCCATTCAGATTTGTTTTCTTTATTTACATCCTTTCACTACGAGTAGAATATGAAGGTAAGGCAGTATTCACTTTTCAGACCTTCATTTTATTCCTCTTATTCACTCTTATGTACTATGTTATTAACATAAAATATATCTTGTTCCTTTATTTCTTACATGTTTAAGGATTTAAAGAAAGAAATTGCACACGGACTGTGAGGTAGAATTTGTATCACCCAGAAATGTAATGCTTCCTTCTTTATTTTTCTAGTATTTGAGTCTACATTATGCCTCATTTTAAAGCAAAGCTACTTTAAAAATGTGCAAAATTCTTAATTACACTATTTAATATGACGTGTTTCAGTAATGTGTTAAGCTCTTAAATTTACGACAACCATACCACATATTAAGTAAAAAATCTGAAATAGAAGTTTATTTTCTTTAAATGTTGCAAGTAGATTTCTTTTTCACATCTATTTTAATGTGTTCACTGGTCTATAAAACCATAACTTGAAACTAGTTAGTGGTGTGGTAAAGTGGCTGGGTCCCACATGGCTGCCTGCCCAGTTCAAATCCCAAACCTGGCAGCTTGAAAATTAAAACAGACATGTACTTGAGTCCCCCAAATCCTGAGAGATGAAGAGAAGGGACTGCAGATTGCAGCATGGTCATCTCTCCTGGAAGGCACTTTCTCACTTTCTCTCTCTCTCTCTCTCTCTCTCGCTCTCTCTCCCCTCTCTGTTACTCAAATTAAGATAAAATGACAAAACATGAACACTATTCTAATGGCCTGTTAAGTAAACTATGATTATTTTGTGTCATAAATGGCATGGTATGTACTATAGTTAATGTGCACATGCCACTTTCCATTAACGAACTTACTATGTTCTTTATTTTCATGAGATTATTTCTATCCTGTGGTACCTCTAGAACTTTTAAAACCATAAAGCAGAAATGTTACTAAAAGTGAGATTACGCAGGTTGTATGTCTATGAGAGCTAGTCTACTGTAACTGACCATCAACTCCTTATAAATAGACTAGTGATTGCGTAGCACCTATTTACTTGCTTTGAATGCATGGGTTTTATCGAAATAGTGGACTGATATAATTAGGGGCTAAGGCAGATTTAATTGCTCAGTGACTTTTAGAGGCGTATTGAACCTTACAAAATACGCAGCTAATAACATTCATCATTCAAAGGAAAAAGCTTCTCTTAGTCCATTCAGGCTGTTAGAGCAAAAATAGCATAAACTGGATGACTTATAAATAACCTAAATTTATTTCTCACAGTTCTCGAGACTGTACATCCAAAAGTAAAGTGCCAACAGATTTGATATCTGATGAGGACCTGCTTCCTGGCTCATAGATAGCCATCTTCTTCCTATGTCTTCATTTGGTAGAAGGGACAACAGAGCTCCCTGGGGTCTCTTTTATAACAGCACTGTTCTCATCCATGAGGAATCCTCCTTCAGGATCTACGCACTTCCTAAAAGTCCCACCCCCTAATATTATCGCAATGGGGTTAGGATTTCAAGATGTGAATTCTAGAGGAACACAAACATTTAGTCTATAACAAGCTGATATCCAACTAGATGAAATGACTTGGCCGAGGTCACTAAATAAACTACACTTAATTAGTAAACTGTTACTTTAGTGCCTTGTCCTGATCCTCAGATCTTTTTCTAATTCTTTGGGCTCACAGTTTACTAATTAAATAATTGCCTCACGTGGCCGTCCCCCCTGGGGGGTGATTTCTCACTTTCTGTCTCTCTGTCTCTCTCCATCTGTCTGGCGAGCGCACGCGCCCTATAGGAAAAACCTCTCCAAAAAGAAAAAAAAAAGAATAATTGCCTCAAATGATTACTTTTAATTCTATATTCATTATGTGATCTAAAAATTTCATTTAAGAAAAATACTTTTAAAATGCACCTATGATCATGTGGTTAAAATCTAGATGAACTCACATGGGAAAAAAATTCCATAGTAGAGATATCTTACATCAGTTTCCGAGACGCAGACCCTGAAAGAAAACATATGTGGCAGAGATTTATTAAAGAATATGTTCAGGGTTGGCGCCATGGTCTTGTGGTTAAGAAAAACTGGATCTCACAAGACCAACCTCATAGTTTGAGTCCCAGCCATGTAGCTGCTTAAGAGACATGCTGGGTGCATGCATGTGCATACCCAATACCTCAACAGGATAGAAAAATGGAGAAGAGACTGTGGCATGATCTCACCACCGGAGTGATGGTGCATTCTCCCTACCCCTCTCCCTCTTTCTCTCTATGTCTCTCTCTCTAAAGATTGCATGTACACTATGGAAATTTTAAAAAATATATGTTTAGGGTAAAACCAGCAAGGTCAGTAGGATAGAAAAGAGAAAGCCAAATGATTTTATGTGAGGCCTCAGCCTGACCTATGTGGAACTCTGGAGCATAAGTTACACTTCAGGATTTGTTTACCTTGTGGCAAATACACTGGGCTTTGACACCTCCACACCAATCATTGGCTATGTCTCACTTTAGGTTTGTGAGGTATTGGGAGACCAGGGGCAGCAGTGGGAGATTACCTACAGTTCTTTCATTTTTTTTTTTTTTTTTAGATGGAGCGAGTTTT